TCTTAACATAACGAGAATGAGATGTAGACAAAAACGTATTAACATCCGTGTGATGTAACATATACAAAGTCATTGGTTCTGATAAACAGGATATTTTTTTTTTGAGGAACAGTTCGTTTTAAATAGATAATTGGAGCAGACTTCATCAGGTCACAGTGACTGGTAACTGTTGGAAAACATATCTATTTAATTAAAAGCTAACAATAACAGTTTTCTCGTCCTTACAACTATAGGGATAAACAGCACACCATACAGTACACATTTACTGACCTTTATATATATTTTAGAACAAAAATCAAATTGTAGATTGAAGCAAAAGTACAAACGATTTACAGATATAGCTCCTGGTCGACTTCTGCATTTAAGTAACGTTATTCATATCTGGTGTTGCATAATGAATATCTAGTGTAACTTGGGGTTCAAATAAATATATCTATATATCCAGTTTCATCTGTGCGATCAACGGAGACGACTGTCTGGGAGTTTCCTACAGTGACGTACATAATATGTACAAAGTGTGTACTTTGAACAATTGGTCTAAATATTCTGGTCAACAAATTCCTTTTTTGAATGTTAAAGGATGCAGTGTCATATTACCAAACGACGGATGAGTGTTCTATTTCTTTACAATGACCTAATCATTAATCGTTTCACTTTTCGTATAATCTACGTCACGTTATAAGAACATTTCGCATACTTATCAATTTTTTAGGTGTTTAGTCCTCATCTGAATCTGCGCTCTCACGTCTTAATAAATCAGTGAAATTTTACTATCAATCAAAATGTGTAGATAGGGCTTACCAGAGTGTTTTGAAGCCTTAATGTCAGTATGAACAAATGGTTAGGAGTCTGTTCAAAGGCGTCATCGATAGATTTGCATCCTAAAATAAGATTTTGCATTAAGCAAGGCCGGGGAAGCTTAAAAGTAGATTCAGATCGCATCGGTCCATAACCCTATTATCTAGTTCCTTGTAATGTTCTGTTCAAGTTTTTGCAGTGGATGACCTTAATTAACACATTTAAATATCAAAGCAAAACCAAACTGTTGCATGAAAAATTGAACTATAAATGAACAAATGAATCAAACAGAAAAAGGCCTGACGAAAGGACAATTAGAGGAAGGAGTTCCGATGAACAAAGTCAGTGATATTGCACTGGTTTTTTTAAAAAATGAATTAATTTTTCCTTGAACATATTCCAGTAATAGATCAAACTTTCTGACACATCATCTTTAAAATTTCACCAATAAGTACATAAATGACCATTTTGATTAATTTGAAAATGAAGCTTTGATGTGAAATTTGCCTGACAGTCATTTTGTTTCTTGCCAGCTTTCCTCCCAGTAGGTAATTTATCATGGTTTCCTTTCTTGTTGTGATATTTCTTAACACGATGTGTGCTTTTCTTAATTAGGGACATAATTAATCACGCAATCTGAACAGAAAGTGCCTTGATTTGCCCTCATTTATAAGATGCACTGTATAACCTTGTAGAATATAATATTGATCCGATTTTCAATAAACCTTGAAAATTTACATGATATCAATCTTATAAAACACACAAAAATCTTGTCAATGATGACAAAACTGAATCATGTAAAATAATGTTAGAATGTTTACGGGGTATCTAAAGTTCTCTTTTCACAAGTAGGTTAATTGAAAGAGTATCTTTTACGGGTTTAATTCAAGATGAAATACAACGATTCAAAAAAAAATTCATAGATAATTCTGCTAACAGATACATATTATATTTTCACTAAAAACCACCAGATAGCAATATTGTATGAACCTAGATATGTCCAGATTAACAAGGTTCCACTGTCCACTAAAATCAAGGTGTCCAGACAAACAGGGTTCTGTTATACACAGAAACCAATGCCAAGACTAATAAGGTTCTACTATACACAGAAACCAATGCCAAGACTAATAAGGTTCTACTATACACAAAAACTGTCTAAACTAATAAGGTTCTGTCATAAACACAAACCGATGTCCTGACTAACAAGGTTCTACCATACACACAAACCAATGTCCTGACTAACAAGGTTCTACCACACACACAAACCAATGTCCTGACTAACAAGATTCTGCTGTACACACAAACCAATGTCCACATTAACCAGGTTCTACTATACACACAAACCAATGTCCTGACTAACAAGGTTCTACTATACACACAAACCAATGTCCTGACTAACAAGGTTCTACTATACCCACAAACCAATGGTCAGACTAACAAGGTTATACTAAACACACAAACCAATGGACAGACTAACAAGGTTCTACTATACACACAAACCAATGTCCTGACTAACAAGGTTCTACTATACACACAAACCAATGGTCAGACTAACCAGGTTCTACTATACACACAAACCAATGTCCTGACTAACAAGGTTCTACTATACACACAAACCAATGTCCCCAATAACAAGGTTCTTCTATACACACAAACCAATGTCCTCACTAACAAGGTTCTACTATACACACAAACCAATGGTCAGACCAACAAGGTTCTACTATACACACAAACCAATGTCCTGACTAACAAGGTTCTACTATACACACAAACCAATTGTCAGACCAACAAGGTTCTACTATACACACAAACCAATGGTCAGACCAACAAGGTTCTACTATACACACAAACCAATGGTCAGACCAACAAGGTTCTACTATACACACAAACTAATGTCCTGACTAACAAGGTTCTACTATACACACAAACCAATGTCCCGACTAACAAGGTTCTACTATACACACAAACCAATGTCCCGACTAACAAGGTTCTACTATACACACAAACCAATGGTCAGACTAACAAGGTTTTACTATACACACAAACCAATGGTCAGACTAACAAGGTTTTACTATACACACAAACCAATGGACAGACTAACCAGGTTCTACTATACACACAAACCAATGGACAGACTAACAAGGTTCTACTATACACACAAACCAATGTCCTGACTAACAAGGTTCTGCTATGTACACAAACCAATGGTCAGACTAACAAGGTTATACTAAAAAGACTGCCAATAGTATTCAGGCATAAAGATTATATATTACATGAATAACATAGACAAACAACATAACCATGCAAAATGTTTAGTTTTATTGTGACATAGACTACTTGTTTAAGATAAGGACTGGGTTAGTCTTTTAGGGTCAGTGATGATAGTCCTATCAAAGTGATGGTTGTGTCATATCATCCCAGTAGGTAACAAGACAGGTATCTACAAGTTAGTGTCATTTAATCTTCAGCTCATCACCTTTGTAAATATCTCTAACACAGGGAACCGTGATCCAGGAATCCTGTTCCAGAGAGTTTTCCTGATATCTTTATTGACAGATACATGTGGATGTATATTAAATATAAATATTTCATTTCTGGAATAACTGGTGTAAGTTTTCAAATGAGGAACAAGCATAATAGAAAAAAAATTATCCAAAAATAATACCTATTATCTTGTTCACAATTACTTGTGGTCTGTAATTGAAAATATCTTCACACCTGGTATAGCTTATAAGATAATTGCAATCTGACGTTACATAGGAAGGTCATAGATCAGGAGTTTTTATTTATAAAATAAGGTTTAATATCCGACAGTTAAGATTTTAGTATGCTTAAGTGATTCATATGCTATTCATGGGATGATAAAAGCAAGAGGCTGATCAGGCTAGTGTCTCTTGTTTATAAAAAAAACTGAATTGATTCAGTTATTTTGCAACTCCATCAAGATGCGACAATTTGTACAAAACTAACACACTGTCTCACCAGGTATGAAGTTCTAGTGAAAAGTAGTGTAGGAGTTTTGACAAGAGAGTAGAAGGATGGATGAAAAAACTGACACAACACAAAACTAAAGTCCTCCCAAGTTCCCAGTAGCGAACTGTGACTCTTGTTGAGAATTATTTAGACTAACTTTGGTCATGAGTTGAAATTATATTGACCAGTTTAACAAGTGGTAATCAACTTTGAAGAGAGAAAACCTTCAATATTCCATCAGAACCAGGTATTCATATTCCCTTGTGCTTGGGATGAATTAACAATGTTTTAGATACCATTCCTATAACTGAGCTGTGTATTTCTTTTTAAAATCAAATAATATGACATGTATCATATTTTTGATATATCTATGTTTTTTTCGAGAAACAGATCGCCTGCTGATTTATGTTAAGTGATAAAGACTTCTGGAGTCAGCATAAACTAATATCATTTTAAAGTGTATGCTAGTCTGGTTAACCATGCCTTTTCTCCAGATGTGACACTGTCAAACATAAATGTCTTTTATTACTGCTTATATCTGATGGCAGGTAACATACATTGTTACATAGATATCAGTACTTCCACCAGAAATTAACATCATTATTGTGAATTACATATCAGACACTTGAACAACTTTCAGAAATTCTCTCAAATAGTATACTTTGAATTTACTATCAATACCATCTATTTTCCAAAAGGATTTTGTCCTTTGAATATTTGACACTTTTGAAGTTTATGTACTTTAAAATCAGTTGCTTTTATCGTCATTGGCACATTGAATTTGGAAATTCCTTCAAGATTTAGTTCTTATAATGAATATAAACTTACAGTGAAACAATTGTTTGTGTGTATATATCATGTATCATATCAACAACCACAACCTTACAACCTTTACCATTGGCTGATGTTTAAACTTGTAAACCTAAGAAAAGATCATGTTGAATTTGAAAAACTCCTAAGGTAAATTATGATCTTGTGTTGGGTTAATAAATCCACAATAAACCGTAGACTTAGAAATAGTGAATAAATATTTCCTTGTTTTCTTTACATTCCCTCTTTTTTCAAGTATTTTATTCTAGACATGGTACATATATATGTATTAGCAGACAGAATGTCTTCCTATTATGAATCCATAGAATGATTTTTAATACTTTAAACTCATAAACTTTTATATTGTGTTAGAAACTGAAATAGACAAACCAAGAAAATGATTCAACAAAAACAATCGATACATTAATTCTGTTTATTCAAAATGTGACAAATTCATTTACGACGATATAAAATATTGAGATGAAAAACTGGATATGGAAATTTTAAAACTAGAATAATTAAATTACATGAAAAGTTAATTTACATGCTTGATATTTCAGACAAAGAAATGATTAGATATGTTAATGACATTAACTGTTCAACAATTCACTTTTCTCAAATTTAATATTATCTTTATAGTTTTAGGATATATATATAAAATTAATGTTACTAAAGTCATATGTAAAATAGTCGAATAGATTTAAGCAGTGAGGATTTTTTGTGTCTTTTTTAAACATCAAAACAAGAGGCCAATGGGCCGCAACAGTCACCTGAGACATGTCCATCATCCCAAATTTCAGTCAAGGTCAATTTGTGCATGTGGGGACCAGTAAACAGTCAGTTTATAATAATAATAAAAACATTCCAACCAAGATTGAACTATTCCTGAAAGAAAATAAACATTTTATGCTCAAAAATGTAATTTTCCTATATAAACTATAGTAAATTTTGCCCCCTCACCTGAGGGAAATGTGAGACCCTCAGGTCATGAAATTTGTGATTTTTATAGAATGCCATAATACACTTCCATCCATGAAGAGTATTTGGTTCTACATTATCTGGGTATTGAGAAGAAGATTTTTGAAATTTCAGTCAATTTGACCCATTTTTGGCCTCACCCAACAGCTCCTGAGGATGATAAGCAGAGGTCAATATGTGCATCTCATAATACTTAAATCAATAATTCTAATCTGGTTTGAATTATTTCCAATAGAAAATAAACAAATAATGTTCAAAAATGATATTTTCCTATATAAACTATAGTAATCTTTACCCCCTACCCTGGGTGAAATGTAAGACCTTGGGGTCATGAAATTTAGTGTTGGTGAAGCATCTGAAGGCCTTCCCATCCATGAAAATTCTACCTTACCTGGGATTTGAGAAGAAGATTTTTGACATTTCAATCAATCTGACCAATTTTGGCCCCAGCCGTCAGGTCCCTGGGGATCAGGGACCATATACATTGCAATTTTGGTGCATCAACAGCCACTAAAGGCTTTTGTAAAATTTCAATGAAATCGGTTCAAGAGATTTCAAGAAGTTGAAAATGTTAAAAGTTGCCGAACAAAAGGGGATCGCAACAGAACATCCTGAAAGTTTGTCTCAGGTGACCTAAAAATAAGCAAATTTAATGTTTAGTTTTGTTGTACATATCAATATGAAATTCTAAAACCACACACCTGGTAAATTGAACACTAGTAAATATCTATATTGATAATGAATGCTTGATGGGATTTAAATAATGAACTTTGAAGTCTGTGGCACAAAATAATAGAGAAGTAGGTCTATTTCATCAAAGTAAATGCAAGGCATGCTTTAAGATGTATATCTTGACTATAAACATCAAGGGAAGGTAAATCATAGTAGTCCTTGCTTTGAAAATATCAAAGTATCATTCCATACAAAGATATTGTAATCTGCTGGTTAGATGAAGGCCAATAAGGTTGATTACCAAAGATAATCAATATTGTTTCTCAAATATAACATCACTCTATTGTAAACTATATCTGAGGTACAAATTCTCAAGGACATGAAATGTAGACAAATAAAGCTATAGTGTACAAAAATTCTGTTGGCACTTTCATGATAATAAACTGAAATACTCAAACTTAAGCTTTGACATATAACATGTTCAGCATAAAAAGTACATTTACCAGTTCTTCTTAAAAGAAGGTACATCAGAAAATCCAAAACTGTTTTTTAACGGTTTCTTAACTCTCCAAGTGATTATTGAATTGGAATCAATTTAAAAAAAAGTGTAACACCTAGTTGTGAGTTCACATGCAATGATGAGGAAAATTTTAATTCCAAGCATGAAAATCACATTTTTTTCAAGGGGAATAACTCTCATAGCTGTTTGATGCAAAATGTGTGAAGAAGCATAAAAATATGCTTGTAATGGAAGTCTGGGTAAAAGCATTCTAGATCAGATCTTAAAACATACCATTGAACACGATCTGTTATTGACTGTAGTTGGTGTGATGCTGATGTGTTAGCAGACAAATAGCTTCAAGTCCATGTAATTATATTTCCTTATTGAAAACCACCAATGAAAGCCTCTCTGGGTTGCTTGTACTAAATTACTGGGTGCCTCAACATAAACAATTTTACATGTAGAAATATAACTGATCTAAGCATCTCAGCGAGAACAAGTGGTTAACTTATGTCGTTACTTAATCTGACTATTATATTCATCTTTTCAATTAAGATATTAATTTCTTTGTTTCATTTCTATGATCGGTTTTTGATTTATAGCCCATCACTGATATACACATTATCAAAATATACATGTAGCAATAATAAAGCACTGAATTGATATTCACACCTGGAGCTGTTATGCAGGACCAATTAGTATGTTCAAATACCTATATATAATGTCTGGCTGCCATCAACATCAATATTCTATAAATAGAATTCAGTCAGATTTCAGTCTATTCAATTGGGGTCAGGAATCTGTATCCTGCTCTTATGTGTGGACTATTTTTCCCTCTTTTATGGTAATTGCAAAAAAAAAAAAAAAAAAAAAGTGTATCTATTGCACTTTTGATGGCCAATGGAATGAGTCCTTATTCATCACTTAAAGGACCATAAATATGTATTATCTTGATATGTGCAATATAAATTCTTCATTGTGTAAATTAAGAAACAACAACTCCTTTTTCTCAAAACAAACTTACTTTTCCAATTACCCATATAAATGTAATTGAAATTTTAAAATTCTCAAAAAATCCAGACAAAAACAGAAGTGTTAAATACAAGACACATAAATTAACATATTGATTTCAAAAATCACTTCAATATATTGGCCTAATCTACGTAATAGCTACAGAATCTTCTTTCAATTTAGTTTTTCCTCTCCTTTGATAAGGATAAGTTATCCTGTATATCTAATGTTTTTTTTTTAAATAACTGTACTATGTTTACTTGTTACAGGGTCACCTGACCGTCTCGTATAAGAACAGAAACTTACAGATGTATGCAGTACATGACAGGGATCACAGATATGATTGGAACAATGATTTCTACTTCTTGTTTCTACTAACTTACCCCAATCAAAGTCAATTTTCAAATAACACAGTTTCATCTTTTACTCAAAGTTCATTAGGTTGTTGAAGGCACTTGTAATAAAGTGAATTTCTAAGAAATGCTATAAAAATGTCAATTATAGTAGCCAGGTATCAAATGATCATTTTATTTCCATTTATTGCCCTGTAAAGTTTGTGTTTGACGTTTTTCTTCAAGCAGACCTATTTGCAATTGCAGGGATAATTGCAGCATAAATATCAATGCCCTTCAGGAAAATGTCTTCATTCAGGAACTCATTGTGATCATGGAGTAGAATGGGCGTGTTGTTCATTGGAGAAAATCCTAACGCTGGGATTCCAATCTGTCAACATATGAAAATGTATACAATAGATAACAAGAATTATAAGTAATTATATGTCTCCTGTCCCAGGAAGCTTTGTTAATATGCAAAATTCAAAATACACTAATATTTTATCTCCATCTCCCAATCTACCAAATTTCAGAGTTAATTGCAATTAATGATATATAAACACCACAAATATCTTGTTGTCATGTTTAAATATTGATGAACTGTAAAACAAGAAGTGAACATTTTGTAAGTTTTTCAATTCTTGAAATTCGCTCAATGGAAGATTTTTTTACCCAATTATATATATCGCCCTTCCCAAGAAACAGAGGAAAAACTTGACTGACTGTTTCAATATGATGATAAACTAAATCTGATATGAAATATGAAAAGTAGACATAAAGACTTTGTAGTCATTATTCAAAAGTTTTTCTCAAAAAAAAAAAAATAATAAATAAATAAAACAGAATTCATGCATTTTTTTTTGTTGGTTAAAACCTCAGTACTAAAATGTACAATGTAACTGCATCCAGTTTTGTTGCAATAGAACTTGTACTTCATGAAAAACCAAGCTAAATGCAAAATTTCAAAGTTCAGCTTCTTGGAATCCTGTATTTTCAAACTTGCCAGGCTGCAAAAACTGGAAGATATTTTACAAATGATCTATGTGATCTATCAAACAACTAAATACATGAACTAAGTTTGGTTAAAGTTGGACATATACTTCTTCAGAGACTTTTATTGCAGGCAAGACAAAAATTCCAAACTTCCAGAGTTATGAAAGCTATGGTGACTCACTGTTCCATGGGAAGTAACTCTGTTTTAAACATATGCGTGTGAAATGTTTGAGTCGAGATATACAACACAGTAAATCTCCAATGAGCATGTGTGTTTGATTTACCTATGTTGAGATATAAAGCACAGTAAATCTCCAATAAGCATGTGTGTTTGATTTGCCTGTGTTGAGATATAAAGCACAGTAAATCTCCAATAAGCATGTGTGTTTGATTTGCCTGTGTTGAGATATAAAGCACAGTAAATCTCCAATGAGCATGTGTGTTTGATTTACCTATGCTGAGATATACAGCACAGTAAATTTCCAATAAGCATGTGTGTTTGATTTGCCTGTGTTGAGGTATACAACACAGTAAATCTCCAATGAGCATGTGTGTTTGATTTGCCTGTGTTAAGATATACAGCACAGTAAATCTCCAATGAGCATGTGTGTTTTATTTGCCTGTGTTGAGATAAACAGCACAGTAAATCTCCAATGAGCATTTGTGTTTGGTTGCCTGTGTTGAGATAAACAGCACAGTAAATCTCCAATGAGCATGTGTGTTTGGTTGCCTGTGTTGAGATATACAGCACAGTAAATCTCCAATGAGCATGTGTGTTTGGTTGCCTGTGTTGAGATATACAGCACAGTAAATCTCCAATGAGCATGCGTGTTTGATTTGCCTGTGTCAAGGCATACAGTTCTGTAATCTTACAAACATCACAATATCTATATACACATTCAATAAATATTGCAGGAGACAACAGACAAATCATCTTAAATTCCAAATCTACCTCTCTGATAAAACGGCTGTCTGTAGCTGCTGGGAATATCTCTGGTTCAAGCGTCATACCCCTGCACAGAAAACATTTCTTAATCACTTTCAAATCCATCCTGAAATGCTTATTAAATCTGATAGTTAAAAACCATCATTAAAATAGACAAAAACTGAAATTTTAAAGTCGCCAATAAAGTTAGTTAAAACTGACATATTATATAAAGAACAAATGGTATTATTTATGTCGTAACTGTAGCAACCTGTAACTGCTCAAAAAATAATAAATAAAAGACTGGGAAATGTATTGAAATGAAAAGCAATCAAATGTCAACAATATTTTTATTTTTATTACATCTTGTTCACATCTAAACCAATGCTTAAGATTTTCCTGTCTTTTACTTTCTCCTTCGACTATCTTTTTCTGTGAAATCTTGGACCACATCATTTCTTTTTTTCCTTAAAACAATTTCACTGAAATCCTCACAGAAATATTATGATTATAATACTTGTCCTAAGTAGGAATGTATCCTAATACAGTATAGAATTCGTGATACATACATGTTCTCACAGACTGTGCTGAAGGTTTTCCACCAAGGGTCTGTTTCATTTATTGATGTGGTATCTTGTATCGTGCATTTCTGGAGAAAAAATGGATAGAAAACACTTTAATTAGATTATCTTCTGAAACATTTAGAGTGACATCACAATAAAAACTTATTTATGGAAATTGAATGAATATTTTATGCTTTGATGCCTTTGGAGTGTTCATAGTCCATTCAAACTGTCCAGCTAGACTCCAGTTGTTTGGAAAAGCCATTTATATGTAAATTAATTCGACTATTGCCCATGATAAATTTCAACACAAGGCAGTCCTATCTATAAACATTGACAGTAATTTGTATTGATGAATAGTGATGTAGACTGCTAACACACATGTTATGTAAGATATTTGGTATTGTAAAGAACGAATTACTGCTTATCTTTTATTTGGTATACATGTACATACATCCAACGTTTGTAACGCAACCATCACAATGTTGCCTTCTGCGTCCCCTCTTCTTGTATGTGTTTATCAAATATTAAAGATTCAAGCTGACCGTGTTAAACACCAAATACAAGCACTTATGGCCAACTTCTTTTCAGTATTTAGAGGTGTACATTATGTGTTGAAAAATGTGGAAATTCATTTAAACAACACTGATTTCTAACTTTGCATGTTTTCGGCAATTTTCTGTAACAGGGTTGCATAGTTTTTTCTAATCACGCATAAGTTATTTGTAATAGGTATGACAGTTGTAATATCAATGATATGAGTTATAGGTTATCTACCAACTCTACAAATATGTATCTGTGATAATCGGTACCCATGGAAATTTTATGACAATCTATATGAATATAAAATCTGGCATTAATAATTATTAATACTGTAAATACAATATAATTCACAGAATTCTGCGATGGTGGTATGAAAGGATAGACAAAAAGTATTTTGATAGCAATATGATAGCTTGACATAATTTCCAGAAGTTTTGTGAAACCTGTATGAAAAACTGGACATAATTTCCAGGGAGCCTTGTGATGGTGTAAGAATGACTTGACATAATTTCCAGGGAGCATGACTTTCAGGAACTGTTGAGATAGCAGTATGAAAGACTGGACATGTTTAGTTACTGCTGAGCAGATCTAAGTGTCAGATGACTGATTACCTTGGTCTGAGTGTCAGATGACTGATTACCTTGGTCTGAGTGTCACGTGACTGATTACCTTGGTCTGAGTGTCAGGTGACTGATTACCTTGGTCTAAGTGACAGATCACTGATTACATAATCTGAGTGTGAGGTGAGTGATTACCTGGTCTGAGTGTCAGGTGACTGATTACCTAGTGTGAGTGTCAGGTGACTGATTACCTAGTCTGAGTGTCAGGTGACTGATTACCTAGTCTGAGTGTCAGGTGACTGATTACCTTGGTCTAAGTGACAGATCACTGATTACATAATCTGAATGTGAGGTGAGTGATTACCTAGACTGAGTGTCAGGTGACTGATTACCTAGTCTTAGTGTTAGGTGACTGATTACCTAGTCTGATTGTCAGGTGACTGATTACCTAGTCTGAGTGTCAGATGGGTGATTACCTAGTCTGAGTGTCAGGTGACTGATTACCTTGTCTGAGTGTCAGGTCACTGATTACCTTGGTCTGAGTGTCAGGTGACTGATTACCTTGGTCTTAGTGTCAGGTGACTGATTACCTTGGTCTGAGTGTCAGGTGACTGATTACATAGTCTGAGTGTCATTTGACTCATTATCTAGTCTGCATGTTTGGTTTATGATTACCTGGTGGAACTCATACGTAACATCATCCCCTGCTTGTGTACACCAATTCTTGACCTTATTTTCAAATTCTTGAAGGTCCACAGTCGGGGCAATTCTGATATCAAAACCTGTGAATGAAACAGAAGATCTAGTTCGGAATTTTTTTTTAATCAAGCTGATAAAACTTTATATCCAATTTAGAACCATTTTAATAAGCATACCACTGACACACTATAATCCATAAATACCATCTTATTATGCAATTGAAGAGTACAATAGACAATTTGTTTTCACATATGTGACACTGACTATCCAGTAGATAATTGTATTCACATATGTGACACTGACTATTCAGTAGATAATTGTATTCACATATGTGACACTGACTATTCAGTAGATAATTGTATTCACATATGTGACATTGACTATTCAGTAGACAATTGTATTCACATATGTGACTGACTATTCAGTAGACATATGTGACACTGACTATTCAGTAGATAATTGTATTCACATATGTGACACTGACTATTCAGTAGATAATTGTATTCACATATGTGACACTGACTATTCAGTAGATAATTGTATTCACATATGTGACACTGACTATTCAGTAGATAATTGTATTCACATATGTGACACTGACTATTCAGTAGATAATTGTATTCACATATGTGACACTGACTATTCAGTAGATAATTGTATTCACATATGTGACACTGACTATTCAGTAGATAATTGTATTCACATATGTGACACTGACTATTCAGAAGACAATTGTATTCACATATGTGACACTGACTATTCAGTAGACATATGTGACACTGACTATCCAGTAGATAATTGTATTCACATATGTGACACTGACTATTCAGTAGATAATTGTATTCACATATGTGACACTGACTATTCAGTAGATAATTGTATTCACATATGTGACACTGACTATTCAGTAGATAATTGTATTCACATATGTGACACTGACTATTCAGTAGACAATTGTATTCACATATGTGACACTGACTATTCAGTAGACAATTGTATTCACATATGTGACACTGACTATTCAGTAGATAATTGTATTCACATATGTGACACTGACTATTCAGTAGATAATTGTATTCACATATGTGACACTGACTATTCAGTAGATAATTGTATTCACATATGTGACACTGACTATTCAGTAGATAATTGTATTCACATATGTGACACTGACTATTCAGTAGATAATTGTATTCACATATGTGACACTGACTATTCAGTAGATAATTGTATTCACATATGTGACACTGACTATTCAGTAGATAATTGTATTCACATATGTGACACTGACTATTCAGTAGATAATTGTATTCACATATGTGACATTGACTATTCAGTAGACAATTGTATTCACATATGTGACACTGACTATTCAGTAGATAATTGTATTCAGTAGATAATTGTATTCACATATGTGACATTGACTATTCAGTAGACAATTGTATTCACATATGTGACACTGACTATTCAGTAGATAATTGTATTCACATATGTGACACTGACTATTCAGTAGATAATTGTATTCACATATGTGACATTGACTATTCAGTAGACAATTGTATTCACATATGTGACTGACTATTCAGTAGACATATGTGACACTGACTATTCAGTAGATAATTGTATTCACATATGTGACACTGACTATTCAGTAGATAATTGTATTCACATATGTGACACTGACTATTCAGTAGATAATTGTATTCACACATGTGACACTGACTATTCAGTAGACATATGTGACACTGACTATTCAGTAGATAATTGTATTCAGATATGTGACACTGACTATCCAGTAGACATATGTGACACTGACTATCCAGTAGACATATGTGACACTGACTATCCAGTAGACATATGTGACTGACTATTTAGTAGACATATGTGACACTGACTATTCAGTAGATAATTGAAGTTTCATGAAGATGATGAAGATGATGAAGATGTAACACTCCCTGATTTTCATTCTGAACTTATTCTGTCCATGGGTTCATGAGATATCTTGTACTACAAGCTTTTTATATCAAAGTGACCAAGACTGACCTTTCACCTTCAATCCTTACTGATGACCATCATAATCTAATTGAGTAGAACTTGATTGAACGTTACTATGGTGTGAATAAGAACTAAATCTGTCCATGGGTTCATGAGATATCTTGTACACAAACTCTGCACCAATGGACAGACACATGTGGTGATGAATAGATGCATGAACAAAGTGTTAACTATATATCCTACACCCTTCCCCCAAGAAGTAAGGAGTATATCTACCAACAGCATCATGTAAGACAATAAATATTAAACAGACAACTGTATTGACATAGAAAATAAAGTATTCACTACATAGGACAAAATAACAGCAAATGGTATCAAATGAAAATCCCTGTATTACCTGCATACATGTCCATAGGAACAACATTGAACTGTACTCCACCCTGAAATTATCAACAAAATAATTAAAATAAGAAAGAGATGTTTCTAACAGAAAAATCTTCATATTAGATAAAGAAATACTCTATAATGTATACCAGCTATTTCAATTAATGTCTAAAAACATTTATAAACAATTTGGTAAATAAAAGAAATCATGATAAAAGAACCCCAAAATAATGTTATCTAGACTGATCAGGACACTGGTGAGGTTTACTGTTGTTATCTAGACTGATCAGGACATTGGTGAGGTTTACTGTTGTTATCTAGACTGATCAGGACATTGGTGAGGTTTACTGTTGTTATCTAGACTGGTTAGGACACTGGTGAGGTTTACTGTTGTTATCTAGACTGATCAGGACATTGGCGAGGTTTACTGTTGTTATCTAGACTGGTTAGGACATTGGTGAGGTTTACTGTTGTTATCTAGACTGATCAGGACATTGGTGAGGTTTACTGTTGTTATCTAGACTGATCAGGACATTGGTGAGGTTTACTGTTGTTATCTAGACTGGTTAGGACATTGGTGAGGTTTACTGTTGTTATCTAGACTGATCAGGACATTGGTGAGGTTTACTGTTGTTATCTATGACATTGGTGAGGTTTACTGTTGTTATCTAGACTGGTTAGGACACTGGTGAGGTTTACTGTTGTTATCTAGACTGGTTAGGACATTGGTGAGGTTTACTGTTGTTATCTAGACTGATCAGGACACTGATGAGGTTTACTGTTGTTATCTAGACTGGTTAGGACATTGGTGAGGATTACTGTTGTTATCTAGACTGATCAGGACATTGATGAGGTTTACTGTTGTTATCTAGACTGGTTAGGACATTGGTGAGGATTACTGTTGTTATCTAGACTGATCAGGACATTGATGAGGTTTACTGTTGTTATCTAGACTGATCAGGACATTGGTGAGGTTTACTGTTGTTATCTAGACTGATCAGGACATTGGTGAGGTTTACTGTTGTTATCCAGAATGATCAGGACATTGATGAGGTTTACTGTTGTTATCTAGAATGATCAGGACATTGGTGAGGTTTACTGTTGTTATCTAGGACATTGGTGAGGTTTACTGTTGTTATCTAGACTGGTTAGGACATTGGTGAGGATTACTGTTGTTATCTAGACTGATCAGGACATTGATGAGGTTTACTGTTGTTATCTAGACTGGTTAGGACATTGGTGAGGATTACTGTTGTTATCTAGACTGATCAGGACATTGGTGAGGTTCACTGTTGTTATCTAGACTGGTTAGGACACTGGTGAGGTTTACTGTTGTTATCTAGACTGGTTAGGACACTGGTGAGGTTTACTGTTGTTATCTAGACTGGTTAGGACACTGGTGAGGTTTACTGTTGTTATCTAGACTGATCAGGACACTGATGAGGTTTACTGTTGTTATCTAGACTGATCAGGACATTGATGAGGTTAACTGTTGTTATCTAGACTGATCAGGACATTGATGAGGTTTACTGTTGTTATCTAGGACATTGGTGAGGTTTACTGTTGTTATCTAGACTGGTTAGGACATTGGTGAGGATTACTGTTGTTATCTAGACTGATCAGGACATTGATGAGGTTTACTGTTGTTATCTAGACTGGTTAGGACATTGGTGAGGATTACTGTTGTTATCTAGACTGATCAGGACATTGATGAGGTTTACTGTTGTTATCTAGACTGATCAGGACATTGGTGAGGTTTACTGTTGTTATCTAGACTGATCAGGACATTGATGAGGTTAACTGTTGTTATCTAGACTGATCAGGACATTGATGAGGTTTACTGTTGTTATCTAGGACATTGGTGAGGTTTACTGTTGTTATCTAGACTGATCAGGACATTGATGAGGTTTACTGTTGTTATCTAGAATGATCAGGACATTGGTGAGGTTTACTGTTGTTATCTAGACTGATCAGGGCATTGATGAGGTTTACTGTTGTTATCTAGACTGGTTAGGACATTGGTGAGGTTAACTGTTGTTATCTAGAATGATCAGGACATTGGAGAGGTTAACTGTTGTTATCTAGACTGGTTAGGACATTGGTGAGGTTTACTGTGGTTATCTAGACTGGTTAGGACACTGGTGAGGTTTACTGTTGTTATCTAGAATGATCAGGACATTGGTGAGGTTAACTGTTGTTATCTAGACTGATCAGGACATTGGTGAGGTTTACTGTTGTTATCTAGAATGATCAGGACATTGGTGAGGTTTACTGTTGTTATCTAGAATGATCAGGACATTGGTGAGGTTTACTGTTGTTATCTAGAATGATCAGGACATTGATTAGGTTAACTGTTGTTATCTAGACTGATCAGGACACTGATGAGGATTACTGTTGTTATCTAGAATGATCAGGACATTGGTGAGGTTAACTGTTGTTATCTAGACTGATCAGGACATTGGTGAGGTTTACTGTTGTTATCTAGACTGATCAGGACACTGATGAGGTTTACTGTTGTTATCTAGAATGATCAGGACATTGGTAAGGTTAACTGTTGTTATCTAGAATGATCAGGAAATGGATGAGGTTTACTGTTGTTATCTAGAATGATCAGGACATTGGTGAGGTTTACTGTTGTTATCTAGACTGATCAGGACATTGGTGAGGTTTACTGTTGTTATCTAGACTGACCTGGATATTGGTGAGGTTTACTGTCGTTACATCTCCCAGCTTGAGACAGGCATTTCCATTCAATCTGGATACAAGCAAACAACAACACAAACTTGATCATTAATATAACTAGGAAATGCCTGCAGAAAATGATAAAATGGGAGGGGTCCATAATAAAATGGTGAGGTTATCAAAACTTAACCTCATGGTGTTAGATCAAAACATTAATATAATGCACCCCTTAATTGTTCATTTAGAGATCTTAGTACACTGGACAGCTGAGGATATGAAAGTGCGTTGAGGTCATTTATCAGAGAAAGCTTGATAGCTTTTCATCTAAGCTTGCTACTGGCTAATATCATGACTTCATGCCTCATAGTTATAATCATCAGAAATAAAAATGCCACAAAAAATGTTCTTACTTTTTCTCTTCCTGGGCCCGGAAATCCAAGAAGCTGTTTATGATTCGTCTCTGAAGAAGAAGAAAAAAAAGAACCCTCAGACAATGATTGCTGATGAGGTAAATAGTATTTTTGTAATTGTTTAAAATCAAGAACTTACATGGAACAAGCTGTTATACTGTTTTCAAAAACCTGTTTACTTACAAATTTCTCAGCTGCAGTGCCTTGTATAAACCTTGACCCATGACCTGGGTTGCCAGAACATTTCACCCTGATCCCTGGAAAAATATGTAATCTTTTACAAAATTACAGACCTTTTCAGGATTTATTACTATTGAATTCCATGACCTAATGACCTAATGAGAAATTACTGCTATCAGACAAATTAGAAGAAACAATGTGAGATGTAAAAATGTATAAATATACTTACACCAAGGAGCTCTCTCTCCATAGAAAACTGTAAAGGCACTAGTAGGATTGGCTAAGCCTACAAAACAAGTCTAACTTATAAAATGTGTACACACTAGCTTGTAAATTACAAATTTCAGCTATTACTGGTACCAATATTAAAAAATTAATGTTAAAAACACTAACGAGAGACCCACAGGCCTTAACGGTCATTAAATTATAGAGACCTATATATGAAAGAGGCCAAATAGGCCTAAAATAAACTGCTCAACTACTCAACAGCTTCCAAATAGGACATTGTTGGTTCATGAAAACATTTCTGTAAACTTGATATCATATTCTTTATACATGCTACTACACAAATGCCATTACTCCGAACACATTCCTTGTTGAAAATGAAATTTTAATATCTCAACTCACTTAACCCAAGAGATTCTGAATATAGGTCAAGGTCAATTAATTGAACAAAATGGTAGTCTGTTATCCACTTATATTAAAGAACCAATATATACAGTCTGGACCTTTTTGTTATTGAGAATAAGTTGTTTGAAGGTTTTAACACATTTGACCCCTGTGACCTTTAAACAGAGGAAATGTCATTCACATGAACAAAATTGGTAACCCTTATCCCAGCATGATATGGGTCCAATCTCAACACCCTAGGCCTTTTGGTTATTGAGAAGAAGTCACTTAAAGATTTTGACACATTTGATCCATGTGACCTTGAAAATGGGTCACGGTTATTCATATTTACTACCTTGGTAGCTCTTCATCCCATCATGCTACAGGCCCAATATCAGCACCTTGGGCCTTTGGGTTATTGAAATGAAGTCTTTTGAATGGAAAGTTTACATATGGCAGACATTGCCTGGCAAGTGATGAAACTTGTGATAGTGAGAAAGTTTTTGTCAGGCATGGCTAGATCCCTTGAGCTGTATGTGCTGAACACTGTTGACCTGCCTTAATCATGATCTGTGTTGGTAGTTTTCTTTCTCACACACCTTCAACCATTACCTTCATCAAATGCAAATCCAATGTTAAGTTTGTTGAACTCCTCGTGCACCACAAACTTCTCCATGCCAAGTTTACCACCGATTTCTTCATCTACAAGTATAAGTGTATAGTACCATTACCCACAGTCTGTAGGGGATGTCTGCATGTCAATTGGGATATATCTAAAAAACATACCAGAGGAAAATCTTATTATTTCAATGCACTTCATCCATATGACCTTGCAAATAGGTGAAGGTAATTAATTCGCACAAACTCAATGCCCCATTCATCCTGGCATGACTCTAGCCAAAAATGTTGATCTTGGATTATTAAATTGTTCTGGCAAAAAATAACCAAGATTTTGGAAATTTTAATTAGGATCTGTTTTCCTTTATGACTAGAATTTTGTGAAGGAATGGGAAAGATCAATTTTTTCCACATGTTAAACACAATGCTTGATAATAGACAAAAGACAACATATGTCACTTGAGACTTTGTATCAGTTACAACCTTAAGATTTGTACTGATTATTTAAACACTTATGACAGTGTTCCAGATAGCTCCCACATAATTTATACATCAACATCACTGTTTTATGCAAATTTCAAATTCACTGCTAAAGATTATGCATACCCAGGCAAACAGTATACATATACCGTATGACAACCTGCATATCTGACAATGTCAACTGGTATGACTCTACAATATCTGAATTTATTTTACTTACCTGGTACAAAAGTGAGATGAATTGTCCTATTAAATCGCTGTCCTTCTGTCTTCAGTTTACGAATAGCCTCCAGATAACTACAGTAACATAACAAATATTGACTCAAGTCCTCAATTCAGTCTTCTCTTAGAAATATACCTGTACTAACAGTGCATAAAGTGTTTCTTGAGAACAACCAGATTTTTGAGCATACTTTTTGAAAATACAAAATTGCATCTTAGAAACAATTCTATAGAACCTGACTAAAAAATCCATAAATATGGTCATGCATAATAAAAGAATTTCAACTTACATAATTCCATTGGATTTCATATCCTGTAAAAATAATTCAAAACATTCTTTTTCATTTCTATTTAAAAAATCAATAATTTTCAGGATGAAAAACAATATATGCAGACTTTACTATGAAAATGACATTTAGAAGAAAAGTATGCATGTTTTATTAATCATACAAATTTCATTTCAATCTTGCTTGAATCTGAATGTTGTCTCATGAACAATGAAATTAAATGAATGTAAGACCTTTGCTTAATTCCATAGAAAAATGTATAATTAATTGTAATTATATGGTAACAACTTAGAAAACCTCACTAGTGTGAATCAGTAAGATGTATGTCTATACCTGGGTGCCTCGTCCATAGATGTCACCATTTTCCATCTTCTCTGCGACAAATGGGTCAACCTTCCAATGTTCCTAACATCACAGAATAAATGAAAAAAGAAATTACCGCTGATATTTTTATATAAATGCTATATCCTTATAGTAGTCTGGAAAATATCGTTCTCAAGTCATAACACAGAAATGATAAAGCAATCATTTTTCCCAAATTGTTAATAACATTTTGACTAAAATTTGAATATTTATTTCCCAAAATACCCTGTAAAACAAAACAACTGATATGACAGAAGAGCATTACAATAGCAAGAGTAGTTCAATTATTTTGAAATGTTCATTTGATAAAAACAGACATCAATAGACACATTTTATTCTTCATCATTTTGTGCATGTGCAAAATACTTTTGAAGATTTCAAGAAGATAAAAATACCTTGAAAACAGGGACAACATCAGTGTGAGAGTTGAGCATGATGGAAGGCAGGGATGGGTCAAGCCCTTCCCAAGTGATGATGGCCACCAATCGAGCAGGATGCACCTGTGAAATAATGGGAAGGCAAGTCATTATTGTTAGGATATTCTTTTTATATACTTAATCTATAAAATACATATTATCAGACGAATAAATCTAAAATCTATTAGAAGTAAACAAGGTGTTTTTAGAAATAAACAAAAAGAACAATAACAAAGGGTAAAAACATTAAATTTGTTGTTGATTGTAAGTGTTTGATACATTTCCATTTACTTTACTATGATAGCAGATTTCCAATGTCCAGCTTGACCAATCTTTTGATTTTAGCCAACAAAAAGTCTTATTTGATTTGATTGTATATTTGATTGTACACAATTACTTATTGCTCATGGATAATTATTTCCCATGATAAATTACACCTTGAATATAACCTGAGACCTTCAAATTATTACTTAAACTTGAAAAGTGATTTTACCAATAAATTTTATCCAAAAGTGTATCAGTAAGTGCAGGAAACCTACTAACGAAGTGTTACCAACATCAGTGGTGGGCTTATTGCAGGACAATATAATAGTATTGATTTGAACAGCACTTTCTAGTGTGAAAGGGTGGGGAAGGCTTATTCCAGGCATGCACTTATTGATCATTTAATACTCTAAAACATCATATTTCCAACTTGTAAACATAAAATTATACATCATATTTATCTACTTTTACACTCCCTGAAAATGTTTTGGGTGAGCATATAGTTACCGCTTTGTTCATCTGTTCGTCCATTTTTATGATAATCAGGATAACAAAACTTAGTATATATATATTGATTATATTAAGAGCATGTTCATTGTTCCAAATTCAGAGCTTGCAATGCTTATGTACTGAGATATTGCCCGTTGTTAAAATTTTGTGTTCTGAGCATAACTTAACTTTTCTTAAAACTATGGAAGGTTAATGAAACTTTCTGTATACATTGTCATACTATGTCATTCTAAGAAAATGAACAATGTACAGAATTAACGCCCTTTATTAATATTTTTTACCAAATTAAGTTGTATTCTGGGAGCATTCATCAGTTTCATCGATATTCTTGTTCTTTTTATTTTTTATAATATAGGTAACCTAAAACTATGTTCTTTCCCTTTCAGATTATGATTGACTACTGATAAAATATTTGCCATTTCATTCATCACAATAGTAGCACTGAAGCAATGTCTCATTGTCTGTAATACAATTATAGGGTGAACAATACTATGTACCTCAACTGTCCTAAATGGAAGACCAATCTCTTCTGCATAATTTCTCAGGAAGGAAATGGCTCCATCTGAAGAAAAAAGGACATTGAAGAAAACAAAAGGTGCATGGCCCTTAACAGTCATCTGACAATCAACGAATGGATGGACAAACCACAGAGTTTGCAGATGATGGTCTGACAAATCTGATGAATTCAAATTTTCAACATTCCTTGAAAATATGAGAAACTCATAAATGGTAAGTTCTGTAAATGGAAAAAAGCTGTGGAATCATGTTGAAAAATTGCTACTGTGGTTGAAGCTTTGATCAGGCTGAGAAGTAGTTCAGACTATTTGTTCAGCATGAAATATGCTGGATTTTTGACCAAAGCAAAAAAAAAAGACTGATTAGTACAACCTCAGGTTCACTTTATGCACTTTTGATATCATTGCCACTTAATAATGTTTCAGAGCAAATTTGGTTGAAATCTACCCAGGCATTAAGAAGGAGTAGCATTTTCAAGCAAAATGTTGTCTTACTTCCCCTTTTGGAACCCCAAAGTTCCTAAAAAATTAAACAACATGTTATACATATATATGAATCAATATTAAAACATAATATATTCATTCCTACGTGAAAGTTCAGTATAGTGTTAGTTGTGCATGTTGCTGGACATTGGTGTTAAGTATATAACATTTAAAAAACTTGATTCCTGAACTGCTGGGCGCTAAATATGTCAAAGGGCACCAACGTTTTTAAGGACACTCAGTAGAGACGTGCAAAGGTTAACATATTGCTACTGTTGCTACTATACCATAGTCAGGTGTAGGGTGCACAGTTTTGATCCGTATATATTCTCTGAATTTTGTCACTGCATGATCTTCACATTTTTGTTTCTTGGGCAATGCTCCCTCTGGCATTTTGGCACTTGAAACGTAAATTGTCTCTTAAATATCAGTAAATATTAAAGTACATAGCCGAACTGAACGCTATTAGTGATGTGTGCAAAATATACTCAGAGTTATTGTTCGTGATGAGAAATTCACTTCCGGTTGCCAGCCTCCAAAATGGAGGCCTCAGGACCCAGGAAGGCAGAGGGTTTGCCGAAATTGAGGGATTTGCTGAGAAGACAGAGAGAGGATTCTTTTTCTGAGGTAATGCGATTAGTTGAACGTGGCGTTTTTGTGTTCTTGATAAGTGATTAAGTTTATTTTGTTTGTTTGTCGACAAACGAATCTCATTAACATTTGCAAACATACCTGTAGCCTAAGTGTTCATCAACAGATGAGGATTGAAATTTATGTACATAAATATTACGTCTTATACTAGATGATTTACTTTATTTTGTTATGATGACTAAATCATAAATAGTATTTATGCGTACTTTGCATGTAAACGGAATGGGTCAATGTACGTCCCTGCTTTTACTAACACATTTCCTTTTGATTAAATTTATCAGTAATTAACATGAGAAAGACAAAGCCTGAAAAGAGTGTAGCTTTATAATTATCGTAATAGAGGACAAGGCTGATAAAAATGTACCAAAGCATAGGTACATGTAATTTCTTTTGTGAATAAATCAAATGAAATGTAGGAGTTATGCCAAGTTGATAAAATGATCAAGTTGATTTTTACAATAGAATACAGTAGGATATTTTATGGAAGCAGGCATTAAATTGCCTCTATATTAATATCATTATACAGTATACAATATAAATACATAGTATATTAGGTTATACCTCCGGTGACTGATTTTTAGTACAGATTGGTTGAATTTTGTACATACGTGTAGTTCTGTCGTAAAGTTTAATACAAAATTGCTCTTTTGGTATTTGAAGAGACAAAATGTCCTTAACTGATATATATTCTGCAAACTATAATTGGTTTTAGCTTGCAATATTCTTTTGATATATAATGTATCTTCTGGTGTCAATAAATGAAGTTGTAATTTGTCCTTATCAATATAAATATAAGCAAAGTGATATACACTTGTGTTGTACATTCATATAAGGGAAGTAAGACTAATCTTGGACATCTAGCAACTTAATCACTTTATAATATTTTCAAGAGAGTTAAACTATTGCTCCACTGAAGTAGAGTTTCCAGCTTAAGTAATTATTGTTGGTCACACATAAGGGAAGGGAAGCAACTGTGTTTAATGTACCTGTTTCCCAGTCATCTGTGGCATCTGAGAGCTGAGCTATGCTTTTATTGAAAATCATTCAAGAAAGTAGGAAAATAGGATTTAAAAGAAACTGATAAACCACTCGGCTCATGATCATATATGTAGAAAACTGGCAAACAAGCTATAGCAGTACTATGTTTATAAGTTGTTTTTTTTTTCTTGTCCAGAATCATACACAAGTATTTGCATTTTAAAGGGACAATTAATTTAGTTGATGAATGTAGGTTTCCAGGCCAAAAACCTTGATTACTTAGCATGAAAATGTGCAATGATGTCATATAATGGATCCTGCACTATAACAGTAGAAAAGGTGGGAAAAGTTCAATTCCATTCATGAATATGAAATCTCACAAATAAGCATTGCTATGTGTCACATTGAAAATATCATGTCATCATGCCACTTCACAGATTCATAGTTTTCAAAGTGAAGGAATTTGTTTTTCATACCCTAATGAAACTGAAATGTTTTGTTAGTTGTTTAGTTAATAAATCATCTATTTATGTTGGTGATGTATTAAGATGTAGGTTATTTAAGAACCAAATGCATTTGATACATCTTGTTTTGGCCTAGTGGTGTAGATTATAAGAGGTTAAACACAAAATGTAGTAAAAATGTCATATGTACATATATGGTTTTTTTTTTTTTGTTATAGAGTATGTGTGAAACCCCAGACATAGAATATACTTATGATGATGCCGATACCTATCGTGCTGAAATGGCAGGTAATTATTGTTGCATAAGGATGTTCCCACGTTACATTTTCCTTATTAGTATTAAGAAACAAAAACAGAAAAAAGCAAAAAAATTTGACTGTTCAAGAAATTGACAATGTGTTGAAGTTCTTTTTCAAGTCTCTTCATTACATGTATATACATGAAGTAAAATTATATACTTGCCGAACATAAACATGCTATTATCAAGCTTTATTGTAAAAAAAAATGAATTTTATCAAATGTAATGTTATGATAACATTTTAGTTTTTAGTTTTAGTCTTAGCCTCATCACCTCACACTTCATTATTTTCAACACTAACTTTTTTACACCAAAGGAGTTTGCAGAACCAATAGCATCAGTCATTATAAAATTTAGGGGAAAAAAACCCCAAAAACGGAAATTGCAATTTCAATTAAATTCCATTCAGCTAAAAATGTCATAGATGATATCCATTTGTGTGACATGAGCAGAGCATTGATTAGCAATGTGTTTTCTTCTTTAAGCAAATTCAAGACGAGAAAATTTCCTTGAAATAGGAAAACATTTAAGTACTGTGTGATAGGACTTTTTGTCTACCATCTCTCAGTTTCAAAGGCATTATAGATACATATTGGACTGTGAATACATGAAAAGTTTAAAGTGGAAAACTTTACATAGAATTTTGTTTTACTTTAACTTGCAGAATTATACAGCTATACAGAGGAATGTGAATTTGAGGAGACAAAGAAAGCATTTGAACATGGGTTTGCTCTGAAAGGTTTGTGGTTAATGTATTGTTACCCTTAGTATTCTATCAATGAGGCTAACAAAGGTGATTCGTGCAAGTTGATAAATCATGCATTGTAACTGTTATGAAATTTTCCCACTGGCTTGTACATCTGTCCATTTATACAGCATGTTTTGTTAGACTTTGCAATGAGATCTATTTGTCTGATACATGTACGAAACGACAAGTCTCAATGCGGTTAAACTTTATACACTGATACATTTAAAATTCTACTCCAGTATGTGATATCCATTTGTTTTGATTGGACTTGGCAATTAGCTGAATTTTGATAAAAACCAGAGTAGAACCAACAGATAACAAATAAAAATGAAAAATTCTGAATTTATATTTATTTATTTTTACAGGACATGACAAGTGGACGACAGCATCTCCAGAGATTCAGAGGAAACACATAGTATATTTACAGAATGAGTTAGAAATGGCTGATCGTGATCGCCGATTTAATGCACTGATGGCCTTACTCTACCTCTTACAAGGTCAAATCTTATCCCAGAATAATGATAGCAATTTTGTTGTCTCAGATAAATGATAAGGACATGATGTTTGTTGGTCCAGATAAATAATGAGGTCTTACTGTTCTTCATATCAGATAAAATGATAAGGACCCCGAGTTGTCTATATCAGAGATAAATTGATAAGGACATGATATTCATTATCTTGGAAAAAGGATAAGCACTTGATATTTGTTGAAATGATAAGGATAAGATGTTTGGTTCAGATAAATGATAAGGAGATGATGTTGCCTAAGACAAATGATAAGGATCCGATGTTGCCTAAGATAAATGATAAGGATCCGATGTTGCCTAAGATAAATGATAAGGATCAGATGTTGCCTAAGATAAATGATAAGGATAAGATGTTACCGTAAATAAATGGTAAGGATCAGGGGTTACCTCAAATAAATGATAAGGATCAGGTGTTGCTTCAGATAAATGATAAGGATAAGGAGAGTAATATATCCAGAATCAGTGATTCCTTGCCCAAGACAGATATTTTGTGAAAAGAGTCATTTGCTTTAAATAATAAATACCTGAATTGCCATTTTCTTAAAATTTCCACAAGATGATTTTTTCAGAAATTAAGAAGTCTCCATCTTTGATGTGCTATTATAAAAGGTAATACTATCCTATTTTGATTGTTTGGAATTAATACTTTGTATGTTTGTACTGTGTTACAGGAGTACATGGCGAATGTGATGCAGAGGACCAGCATCGTGATTGGGTGATGACCAATGTCCACATGTTATATGAACAGGGTCTGTTCATCTCATTTGCTGAAGTCTTGTCAATGGAAATTGAGTAAGTAATCTATCGCAATGGATTTAAAGCCTTACGTAATCACTGCAGATTGCTTGCTCATGTTTAGGTAAAAATAGCAATTTGTATAAGGGCTGTTCCAGAATTAGACATGAAGGGGTTTGGGGTTGGGAAGCACTTTTTTCCCCAAGCACTCATACAATAAAATTTATTCAATACCCAAGCATGTATATACTTAATAAGAATTTTTGTCAAATCCAGTAACACACTCAATAAAATTTGTTACTTCAATCCAGCCCCGTAGAAATTTTATTTCCATGTAAACGACCATCTAAGAAAATTTTCTTTTATTGCCCTTTTTTTTACAGCCAAATACTTGTTGCTTTCCTGAGCAAAAATGGTGTCAGTTTTCCCAAAATGTGATATAAGAAATATCTATATTTTCCCAAACTCTATGGAAAAGATTGCTGAATATTTGCAATTTCTGCATGCATAAACACACTAAATATAATTTAGACGTTTCAAATTTGAAAAAAAAACCATGATGTCGCCACCCATTTTAAGCTGGGAAAGTTGTAAATTTTTTCAACAGCTAACATACATATGCTGGAAGTTTGTAAAGGAATGCAGTGGACAGAATTACTAGTTGTATTCTATTTTTACTTCATTTATTTCACATGTTGTCCTTGTGATTTTATCATCATGTCAAATTCAGGCAAAAAATAAACTTGCTTTCAGTCTGTCTATTATGATATATTAAGGTGATTTTCTCTTATGAACATGCTATGGGTTAGCTTGACTTAAACCAACAAAAATTCCTCGCTGAGGATTTTAGGCCAAATTGGCCAACCATTTGGCCACCTAATGGATACTCTAGTTATCCTTCACCATTTTGCCTTAGTTCTTGTATACCCTGATAGTTTGAAAACTGGCACAAGTTATCTCCCTTGAACTTTTGAATCTTTAACAAGCAACAAACACACATTGGAATATTATTCAATATTATTAAAAATCAAAACAACTGAATTACTTTACCAACAAAATCTGATATTTTGTGTAAAGTTTATTCCAACAATTTAATTAATGGGGTTCTTGTTTAACCAGTTACCCATATAATTCAATATGTCATTGCCCTCAGCCGCACATAACCAGCATTTTAGTGTTGTCCCAACCACCCAAAAAATGCAATTCATCTGCCACCCAATGCTCCCACATATTTAATTCTGGAACTGCCTTATTAAAAAATGAAATCTTACAACCAATATGAATTCTGTGGTCTGGATTCCTATATGGTTGCAAGATGAATTTTTGCTGTGCTATTGAAATTATATTATTTTAGTGGTTCTGGTTTAAAGGTTTAAACAGAAACAATGATATGTGCCTGGATATGAGTCAATCATCTGTTTATTAGCACAAAATTGTCATAATTTCTTCTCAGACAAAATTTCCTGAAAGGACGTACATTTTGATACTTCCATTTGTAGCATGTATCGTAGTTTTCAACAATTTCTTCTATAGATATTTTCATTTATCTTAAAGGCACATTCAACTACCTTTCATCAAAAGTAATAAACACACATGGAGTTTCATTATCAGTGATGTAGATTTATAAAGAATTTGGGGGAAAATTGTTCATAAACATGTTAATTATGTTGAATTGTTGCTAATAATGTTTTGCTGTTTCAAGGAATACTGTTGCTGCATCAAACGCTCTGCGTAAGCCAGCTGTCTCGGTGGCAGATAGTAAAGATTTAAGGTAACAAGAAGTTGATAGAAAGTCTAATTATATAACTTAATTATTTACATTATCATTCAAATGCTGACAAATTGCTGACAAGGAAAACTTGCTTTTCCAATGAAAATTGAAATTGGTTTCATATGGATATCATAATTTTGTGTACTTCTATTAGGTACTAAACATTATGATGAATTGAATGTTGAGGAAATTTTCAGTTAAATACATATATGTAGCTATATGTATGTGTAAAAGAGTCCCTCAGAACTCTGCTACAGTTTTTAGCCCACTATGTCTTGTTTTCAGTTTGAGTTGGTATGTATGCATGACAAATAACTATTTTGCTTACAGCAATAGGTTTATTATATTGAAATTTAGGAAATATTCTGTCACACCAGGACCACGTTAATACCAAACAAATACTGATTTGGTTAATAAAAAGATGTTCTCAAACCTCTTGTCATTTACAGATGTTTGTATTTCCAGAATGTTGTTAAATGCTTTATACACAATGGTGGAGACCATGCGACTCCCACCAGAAAACATGTCAGAGGAACAGAGAAGGAATCAAGAACTCTTCAAGGAAGACCTTGGTCAGTAAACTGGTATTTATGATGGGCTATTAACATTTTATTTAATAGTGGGAGTATTTTTCATTTCCTATAAAGTAAAAGTCATTTCATTTTTCTGAAATGTTACAAAAAGATGCAGTGCGTAGCATTTTTACATAATTTTGTTATTTATTTTGCTTGAATTACAAAAAGTCTAAAACATCAGTAAAAGTTTAATGCAGTTGGGTTCTTTTAAAAGTCAGCCCTGTTCAAAGGACAATAAATACTTCACTTACTATACTATACCTTTTCTGTGTGTCAGGGAAGATAACTCCATCAATTTGTTTATATATTTGTTCCTATTAGTGACACCATGTGTTGGAGATGAGATATTAGCGATCACATTGTTTGGAATGGTGACCAAGTTCTGTAGTGGAAATGCACCTCACTTTCCCATGAAGAAAGCTTTGCTCCTGTTATGGAAAGTTGCCTTGGTATGTCAGAATGATGTTATTGAATAAGAAAATTTGATGTGCAATTGTTAGATTGTTCTGTAACTGATTTGCTATTTGCTGATTATATGATTTATGTAAAATGCCTTAAGACACGCAGTGATTTTAATTAACTCTAGATATTGATTCAGGTTAACTTGAGCTAGTTTAAGTTTCAGTACTCTAAATGTAAAATAGTCAAGTTTCTAAGATTGTTCAACAAACACAAAGTGAATGGTACCTTTTAATACAAATTTTAGAGTTATATACAGTACAGTCAAGGGGGCGACTGAGGAGAATCTGATTGATCAAAAGAAAAGTGGAAGTCTAGATGGGGAAGTGCACTAACCTCATAATTCAATTAATTTCTGAATTTTCATATGTCAAATAGTTTAAGAACAAGGTCAAGTACATGTGTATTATCTGAACCATACCACTATTTGAAAAATGTGGCATGCAGGTTACAACAAACCTCAGGGGTTTCAAGTCCTCCAGTAGCATCTACCACCTGCAATATTAATTATTCTTGAGAAGACAAATGAGGATATTATTAATTGAGACACATGTAAGCATTTGAAATACAGTAAAAAAAGGATGTCCAAGTCCATGGGACCAAATGAAATATTCTTCCTATTTGATTTGACCATGTTCTTATGAATGGAGACATAGTGCAATGAAGATCGACCCTATTTTCATAGGTTGTTTACCTGGTACATGTCTCATAGCATGGTATGACAGTAATAAATAAGTAATAATGGATAAAAACATTTTATATTCTTAGATGATAATATTTTTTGTTTAAATGAATAGTAATAAGTTGGAATAATAACAAAAATGTAATGTGAAACAATCATCATTGCAGCACACACATATGAATGCGCATCCACTCTCATACACATAATTTAGTGAAATTGATAGTAATACAAATATTGTACTCACATTTTTATCCTTAAGAGTAACAAGTCTTGACATTTTTAGACTCAGTGCATCTCTAGGATGTGGCATCTAAAGCCATCACCTGGAACAGATGTTAGCTTGCTAGATTATTTATAGCCTGTACCAAATTTTACACCACAAAAAGACCAAACAGGGCATATATGCCTCTGTAGAAAGCATTAAAAATGTTAGTTCATGAAGTAGTTGATGCTGTGCATCTCTAGGATGTGGCATCTAAAGCCATCACCTGGAACAGATGTTAGCTTGCTAGATTATTTATAGCCTGTACCAAATTTTACACCACAAAAAGACCAAACAGGGCATATATGCCTCTGTAGAAAGCATTAAAAATGTTAGTTCATGAAGTAGTTGATGCTGTTATTTTATAAATACTTGGATATAAGACAAAAAAATAAGAAAATAAAATGCAAAACTGTTATATGATGTTGTATCTTAAATAACAACTTGGAATTATTTCCTGCAGATTTTCACTATTCCTATCAATATCTAAGCTCATGCTACCACTTTGTTTCCGACATCAAGTTTCTTACAAGATTTTTATCAAATAGCTGTTTGAAACACTTTTTACTTTCTGAAAATATCTGATAGCAATACATAAATTAAAATGTTTCTGAAAACTTTAATTCGAAAAAAAACACTGACTAATGTAGAGTTAGCTTTTTATGATAGATTCTGGTAGTAACCTTAAAATCTGTTCATAAGCAGGAACAAGAAAACAATATATTGCGTAAAGAAGTAAAATATGGTTGGCAAACTACAAAGATGTAAACAAGGAAGTCTTTAGATTACACATTAAATTTAAAGACAAGGAAGTCTTTAGATTACACATTAAATTTTTTCTAATAAAGGTTTGTAACTATTTTAATATCTGTGACATTGCTGATTACATGTTCATGTTTTGTCATAAATTTATATGTAATGAAACCTAATGTACAGTGGTTGTTTATTGTATCTTGAAACTGAAAACGTGATTGGTTTATATTTTGACTTAAAAATAAATGCTTTAGATCTTCTTAGATATTGATCCATAATTAATATATACAAATGTAATTGGAAGGAGTGACGAACAACACAGCTATTAGCTACTGAGGTTTGAATTCGGCCTATAGCATGAATTCTTCTTCCTGGTTTTAACCACCACCAATACTGATGATTATGGTGAGGCTGTGGTCACCCTTTGGTCTCTAGCCAGACACTCTACCACTTGACTAAAGAGAAATTCACACTAGCCAAGGCTAGAATGATGACAATGACTACCCTCAACTTCTTCAACTTCTAGTTTTAGTAGGATTTATTAGTTTAAAACATACACTTTGTATTTGAGAACTTAAAATGTGCAGTGTTCAAACAAGCTATGAACTGATGTAATGCTATTGATCATTATTGTGTACAGTAATTTAAAAGAATGAAAAAAAACAGCAGTTTTTTGATAAGCAAGCAAATAATTGATCAGCTGTCAGTAGCCAGTTATAATAACTGATCACAAATGTTGAAATCTCAACTCATTCCCATGTACAAAAGAAAATATTCAACTGATACATGAGCATTCACTACTTTAAACCTTCTGTGGCCTGTAGCCGTGCACTACACAGCACAATGTGCAGATATCAGAGTTACACTTGACGATCAGTTATTACCCTTCCAATCACACTCATTCACCGTACTGATGATATGAATGTATTATCATGACTATATGTCTTGAACCTTCATATATACATATGAGTGTGACCAATCACTTTATACTATTACATACTGATATAACACTTCCATTATTCCAGTACATATACACAGGGTCTATGAGTGTCCGCCACACTTTGATTAGGTAAAATTTTATTGAAGAAATACACACTCATGAAAACTCTACATTTATATAATGACAAAAGCACTGATGGGTTAGGGAAAAAAGGTGAATGCCTCAGCAACACCACTCCAGCATAAATGTATACAAACCACACTGTAAGAGCATATACCGTAAAAACAGTGTAAGACAGAACAGGTTGTATATGTACATGTAAGTGCAGTAATTGTATTCAATGATAAACTGATGTGTCAATGACAAATTAGTCTTTATGTTAATTGCTTTTTTTCCTTCTGGTTTGTGGCAGCCATGTGCATAAAAAAGTAAACAGATCACAGTATATTTATGGTTAATGTACTAATGAATTTTATTTCAACTTTGGTTGTCTAATTCTTTATAAATTCCAACCTTCAGCTGTATAAAGACAGGGATTATTGTTTGATTGATGTCAGAAACTTAATTAGGGCCCGTTAATACAGATAGGGCTGACAGATCACACTGAATGTTCAATAGAAAAAAGGAAATTTTTGTAGAATTCGGAAGGAATGGATCACAAAAAGTATTGACACAAACACAATATTAGATTCAACAATGTTTGAATCATCCATTAATGATTTACTAAATTAAAGAATTTAAAAATTGGGACCAAACTAAACATTCAACTTTTCTAATATCTTTGATTGAAGCATGTTTCACTTAAGTGCATAAATAAAAATTGACAGGTAAGAGAGTGAGATAGTAAATGTTATAGACTTGTCCTACAGTGGAGACTACATGAATTTTCAGAGATATTTAAGTAAATTGAACTAAATACCACTAACAACACTGTGATGTTTTTGCCCTGAAGTTGTTATAAAAAAAAACCCCAAGTATGGGAAAAATTTCCATAAAGCAGAGCTAGTAAAGTATCATATGTAAAACTGGTAAATCAAAAACTTATGTTGATCCATAATATATTCAGTTTGAGTATTTTGAATAAGGTAATTATTACAAACTGTGTTTTGGTCTGTGTGTGTAGGTATCATTGGGTGGCCTTCGGGCGCTACAGGACAAGAAAAATGCTGTACGTGTAGAGAATGGCTTACCAGAACTCCCAGAGGACACGTACGAGGTGTGCAAAAACATGCGAGCCTCCTCACCTCCAGCCTCCGCAACTGACCTCATTGAACAACAAATGCCAAGGCGATACAGTGCAAGAGGAAAACGGGTAAGTTGAAATCAGTGTCTAAGTCATAGAATATTGATAACAGGTCTAGAATGATGTGGATCTTATTGGAACAAAAAGTTATATAAGATAATACATGGTTATGATGAGCCTATCACATTAATTATACAAATATTTTGTTTTTCATAAATTTTCAGAGAAAAAAAATTCTATAATTTCTATTAAAGGTTTAAGATGATGAATATAAAATTAAATTACCTCTACATTGATGAATGTATTTGAGATAAAGATTGTATGGTTGCAAGTATGACCATTTTCCATGAATGTAATTTCTTTATTAGTAATGCTATGTTTGAAAAGTTGAATTGAATCCATACAGTAATATTATGGTTGAATGTAATTGGAAAAATGCCATTATGAAATATGGATGATTATGTTTGTTCTAGCTATGTAACAATTGCAAGGGTTAGTGTCACTGGTGCAAGAAAAGATAATTTGTAGCAGTATGCTGATTGTAAAGTTGTGTTATCTATAAAAATGTCTTTGAATGCTGTGTGTGTTTGCGCCTGTAAATAATGTATGTGTGTGTATCTGCGTTGATACTGCTGTGTTTGACCCTTAATTGTAACCATAGTAACCATGCAGAATATCTTTGATATTAACCTTGGCTTTAACCTTGGTTATTTGGCTGTGGAGGATCGAGGATGGCAGTGTTAAACTTCTACCCCCCACAATGGACTTGTCCTGCTGTTGATCAAGGTCAGGGCTATTGTGGGATGTGGGGGGTCTTAGCTTGCACATTAGGAAAAAATCTTCTACACATGTACATTCAATCAAATTTTAAATATTATCAATTTTTTTTTTTTTGCTCATGTAACATTTATGTTCAATTTTTGCTGTTTTGCTGATTTCTGAAGGGAAAAAAATGCTTTTTGTCGAATAGATATTTTTGGCTTATATAGAAGCAGATTAAGCATAGAATAGTGCGAGCTAATAATGTATTTAATGAAACACTTAGAAAAAATGCATTCATATAACTCCTCACATGCTTTTTAACAACACCTAATATAATGATGACAATGCTTGTAATATACAGTATTTGCTGTAAAACACATCAAAGAAAACGAGGAAAAACTAGTGTATAAATCAGCTGCTAATACAAGAGTTTGTTATTTAAGCAAGATTTTATATACATGTCGAACATTTTTCTCAAAGTGTAAATATTAACCGTCATGATAACATATCATAAAAGGAAATTTTTTTCTTTTTTAATTTTTTGTGTTAAATGATTGTTTAGAAGAATCATTTGAATCAGGTGCACAAAAATGTTCTATTTAGAACGTTAAATTGAATGCAGATTAGAAAACTTATCTTAAAAATCATACTGCCTTGATGATTTGTCATAATTATTTATTGTCTTTATAAAAATTATGGTGATGGGTCGTAGTATACTTTAGATAAATAAATTTTGTGTATATATATATATATATATATATATATACTAGTAGTTTTTTTAGGTACTCGAAAAGTCTCATGGTGACTTATTGCGATCACCTTCATTGTCTGGTGTCGGTAAACAATTTAACATTTTCACTTTCTTCTCAAAAACTCCTGAATCAATTTCATTGAAATTTTGCAGAAAACTTCCTTGGCCTCAGGTGAACCAAAATAATGAATAATACTGTCCCCACCCCACAGGGGCCTGAGGGGCCTAGCCAAAAGTGGTCAAATTGACTCAGATTTCAAAAGTCTTCTACTCAACACCCAGATATAGATATAGTAGAATCAAATACTTTAATAGATGGAAGCATCTTAAGGTACTTTACCAAATTGTGAATTTCATGGCCCCAGGATCTCACATTTCCCGATGGGGAGATGGTGTGAATTTCATGGCCTCAGGATCTCACATTTCCCGATGGGGAGATGGTAAAGTTTACTGTAGTTTATATTGGAAAATTAGGTTTTTGAGCATGATTTATTTCATTTTCATTTGAAACATTTAAAAGTTTGTTAGAATTATGAGTGAAGGTTGACGGCTTGATGGTATGCATATATTGATCCTGACAGACCCCTAGTGGTCAAATTGACTTAAATTTAAAAAAATTTTTCTCAACACCCAGGTACGGAAGGATTTTGCAAATGCTCTTCATGGATCGAAGTGTCTTAAGTTGCTTTAATTACTAAACTGAGTTTCAAATTTATTCCTGGGGAGGAGGTTAACTTTACTGATAGTTTTATAGAAAAATAGCATTTTTAGCATAACCACTGGAAATAACATTATCAGAATTGTTATTATAGGATGACAATTTTGATGGTATGCATTTATTGACACCAGCTTACTATCATCAATGTCACAATTTCTTTTTCACGACACATGAAAGCTACTTACCGTTTAATATTTATAATCAATATTACTTATCTCAGGTGACCGTCAAACCCACTAGGCCTCTTGCTCTATCTAGGCTATTAATGGGTATTCTAATATATTGATTTTTTGTTAAAATGAAAAAAAATTTCTAATGGGGAATTGAAGGAGAAAAATCAAGGATTTCATTTATAGAAAAAAAAATCATAACAAAAGCACCTGGTTTGATAACAAGGTACATACCCATACAGATAACTGCACTGAAGACCAAATATTTTGTATCTAAAACATTTTATTTTCAATACCTGTTTATCATTATTTTATAAGCTGAATTTTTTCTTTCACATTTTTCTTATTAACTGTTTTAGATTAATGGGAATAATGAAAATGAGATAATTTAGAAACTGAATATTTGGTCTACATATACTTACTCTCAAAAATTAAAAAAAAAAACAAAACAAATTATATTATGTCTTCCTGTGTATGTTTAGATAGCTAATTTACACATATATAATAAGATAGGAGATGCATGGTGAATGTTTTGATGGGTGCATGTCATTGAAGCTGTGTTTATATACATATTTATACATATATATTATTTATGTGTATAACACCTCCATAACTTGGAGTTGTGCTTCAAAGTTTGTTACCGTGGAGAAACTCTACCAGTATGTCTGCTTGTAATCAACAAAGAAAAAAATTGATGTCATATTTCAATATAATATTGAAAATTTTATTTTAAAAATTGAAAACAATTGATATTTATTTGAAAAAATATAATAAATAGAAAATAATAAACGATTTCACGGTTTGTTATGAAAATTAAAGGTCACTGGTATATTAATGATTTTGAAGCATTATAAAGTTTTCTAGTAGTACTACTAATTTCATTTATCAAGAAAAAAGACCAGGCTGATTTGATTACATGTAAACATGCTGTGGACTCTATCTAACACAAACTGCTGGCCTAACATGCTTGCTTTCTAACCTTTCTTTTGACGCCATCTTTCCTCTAATCTACACTACATCTTCCATCGATTGGTCATCGATTGGTCATCCATGGGTTTGGTGTTTCACTTGACCATTGCTTGCTTGGCCTTGTACAATAAAGAGTTTGATCAAACAGAGCAGCCTCCCAGACGAACCTTTTGACAACGGTGCTGAGGATGAGCTGGATATGAACAGGGGCAGTGATGACGAGCTACCCCCTACACCTCCACGACCTGCAACTCCTATACAGCCACAACAAAAGTCACTACCATGGAAACCCAAAGTCAGGTAAGATCTCATGTGCTTTTAACTTAACAGGGCTTTGTGAATTGAATTATTTTAAGCCTTAAAGTTCAATTATGGCATTAATAGTCAAATTATAGGTTTTTTGTTAACTGGTAATAAATTACATCATTAAGTACGAAAATCAAGCTCAAAATCTTCTTTGAGAAAATGTTTATAGAAAATTGATATGTCATATTTAAAAAACATTACATATGTACATGAAGATGTACAGGGACCTCATGCAAATTTAGAGAATACATTTTGCATTTTACATGAAAGTATAAGCACAGAATTACATTAGCATTTCAAGTTGAAGTAGTCCTTTCAAACATTTTCTGTAGCTACCTGAGTGAAAATAGGAACTCCACAAAAACATCTTGTTACTCTATAAGTTTTCTTTGATTGTTTGTATTTTAGGCAAAAAGATCTGGAGTTATTTTTAGACCATACCAGGATCAAGTTTGTAGGTTTCCAGGTCCAGAAAGATCAGGCATCACTAGCTGGTTTACCTCAGCCCATCCACGAAGGCGTCAAAGTCCTCAAGCAGGTATGTTTCATTGTATATACATGTTCCATATTAACACAGAGAAGAGAGAATTAAGGGTTTCCCTTTTCTGATGGTCTGTTCATTCACATATATGACACCTTCAATTTTGTGTATAGCCCCAATACATTAAAACTACATCATATCATCATATTTTCAATACATAAATTAATCTTAAAGATTGAAATTCTTTATTAAATGGATTAATAGCTCAGTGAGCCAGGTGAGTGATGCAGGCCCATCAGGCCTCTTGTTAAAGCCTTCTTGTACTTATGGGATAATTCTAAAGCAGGTTTTGAATTTGGTCCAACCAAATCCTGTGCAGAAAATAATGGTATCTGTTCATCATATGGTATTCTATTGATAGTTGATTTAAGAGAAAGACTTCATCAGTTTTTATGCTAAGAGCATTTTGAATGCTCTTCAGCATGTTGCTATCGCCCCTGAGGCTGAGTATCAGTACTTCGTTTTCATTGGTTCATAAATAGAAAGTTTACTCCTACTCCATCTGCCGGACGTTACTGTAATAATTAGATTATCGCCCCTGCAAGTTGCTGATGCTAGTCATTAAATGAAACAACCTTATCGACATTTTCTTCTTTTTCTAATTCTGTTGTAGCATTTGTATATATCTCTGACTGAACTGCAGATCAAAAGAGAAGAAGAGATAGCAAAGAACCCACTGTCCCAGGTATTAGAAATAATCCAAAATCTGTATTTAATTATCAATCAAGAGATTAAACAGTTTCTATTTGGAATTTGTGAAACAATTAACATTTTTAATACATGTACATGAAAAATGTATTATTAATGTAAGTATGCTAAGTTGTTTCATGAAGATATTGTTTATTAAGCCTGATATGCATGACTTTATGACTTGTTTACAGCCAGAGAAGGATGTGCCCAACTCCCCAGTGGAGATTTTGTTCCAGGCCATGCTGCCAAATCTTCCTCAGTACATGGTACAGTATTACCTTTTCTTCAGGGACAGAATTTTGTTGATAAGGTGACAAAATTTGTATAACTGACCAAACAATGTGATAGTAGAAATCATAATAAAATTTCTCTTTTAACCTGAAAAATTTTAAAGATATGTTTATTATGTTTCAATCTTCAATATTTATGACTAATGTTTGAAATAGCACAGGGTTGTACCTTTCAAATTTGGTAAAGTTTTAATATCTTAAGGTCAAGTTTAGGTTTAAAATCTGCAGTTTAGATTGTCTTGATTAGGGTTATAAATATATAATTTTAGATTGCCTTGCTGAAGATTCTTCTGGCAGCAGCCCCTACATCCAAAACAAAAACCGACTCCATCAATATTTTATCAGATGTTCTCCCAGAGGAAATGCCGTGAGTACTTGGTTTCCATCTCTGGTAGTTGTTTTTGTGTAGATGTGAATTCTTACATATTGACATTGTATCTATCTGAAAATTTTATTGTCAGCTGTAGAACAATTTCTGAATTTCTTTTTGTCAGTTTAATTGATAAATACTAAGACTAGTGACAATTGGATTTTAGGGATTATAAAGCCCAGCTACTGTTTATGTACGATGTGTTTTACAATAGTGTTTGACTTGGTGTTTGTTTTTATATAGTTGTGAAAGTTTAAATTTTGACACATTACATTATACTAAAAGCTGTATGCCTAAAGTGATCCTATTTCTCATGTAAATGCCAAACACCAAAGTTCTAATGTATACGTACAAAACAGAACAAAAAAATTCTTTGTACTCTAGTCAAAGAACTCCTTAAAAAAGTGTTGTGTTATGGTTATTTCATCTTGTGACTGGTGATATTTCAGGACCACCGTTCTACAGTCAATGAAGCTGGGGATTGATGTGAACAGACATAAAGAAGTGATCGTTAAATCCATATCTGGTCTTTTGTTGTTACTTCTGAAAAATTTCAAACTGAATCACATCTATCAGGTAAGTAAACATGGACTACAAAGTGTATGTCAGGTATAAATGACAGAACTCTGCGAAAATATCATTAGAATATCTCACTCATGTGATTTACATAGTTCTACAGGGAAAATATTTGTGATTCTGGAAATATAAAAAAATCTTTCCTCCTTGTCTTTGATGTCCCTAAATAACTACAAATTGAAATTATCACAAATTTCTTTAAATTGTAGACATGTATATCATAATATTTGTAATAAGAAAAGTGTATGATTGCATTAAAATAATGTGTTAAGGGTGAATGGGGAATCGTTGTTGGTTATAATGGTGGTATAATGGAAAGTGACTCGCCTTTCACCAAGATGTCCACTGTTCCGTTATCTCTGGTGGTTTTTACAATGGTACTCCCACAGTGCTATCATTTGAGCCAAGATGATTAATATCAGATGAAATAACCTGTTATGTTGTAGAATAAATACAGTTTATATTCAATATTCAATTATGGCCGGTTGATGATCCTCATTATGTGTTTCAGTTTGAATTTCTCAGTCAGCACCTGGTCTTTGCCAACTGCATACCACTGGTGCTTAAATTCTTTAATCAAAACATCATGTCTTACATTGGAGCTAAGAACAGGTAATAATGGTGTACATCTTTGGTTTTAATTTGATATTATTTTTGTCGCATCACAAGTGATATGAAAGTACATTTATAACTGTTATGAATGCAGTAACACTCATTATACAAGTATTAGTTATTACACATGTGTAATATAACCTAGATGATATGTGATAGACTAAAGATTCTCATTGTTTCCATGGTGACATCTTAACTTCCTGGTGTCATATTCATTGTGACATCACCAAAGTAAATGATATAGAATGAGAATATTGGTGATATCCTATCACATCTTTCTGCTTCAGTATTCCTGTACTGGACTTCCCACGTTGTGTTGTTGGCGACCCAGTAGAACTCACTGCAGAGGCTCTGGTGAGTGTGTACTGTATATCTCCTATTAGGGAATTATTGGTTTTTGGGAGGCATCCGAGCAATCTGAAGCTGAAAAATTGAATTTTGAGAGAAAAAAAAATCTTTTAAGAAACTTAGGTGTAGTTTTTCTATATCTGAGAAGGTGAAATCATGAGTAAGATTACTTAATTATCATTTATTTTGTCCGCATATGTAAAGGTACATACTGATATGGCTTATACACTTATCTTTTTTATGTTTTAGGAAAATGGTGATGATCAGCCATTTTGTTGGAGAAACCTTTTTTCCTGCATTAATCTCTTAAGAATACTCAACAAGCTGACAAAATGGAAGCACTCCCGAACAATGGTAAATTTGTTTGTGTTACATGCTTTAGAAATAGGTTTAACTTGTCACAACCAAACCCAGTGTAACCTGAAACCTGTGTTAATTAGTTACCAGAGAGTACATACCTATGTATGAGTAATCTGGACACCTGCATAAATCAAACCTTTACCTAAGTCCCACTGTATATATATCTGTGTAACCCTGTATAATCTAGACACCTGTATAAACCAAACCTTCACCTAAGTCCTACTTTATGTATTTCTGTTTAACCCTGTATAATCTGGACACCTGTGTAAACCAGATCTTCAAGTAAGTCCCACTGTATGTATTTCTTTTTAACCCTGTATAATAATCTGGACACCTGTATAAAGCAGACTTATAATCCAGACATTTAAACGAGTTCTGCTTTTTACAGTGCTTTCTAAATCTAGCCTGTCTATATTGTTGATATGTCTATAATTGAAAAAATTATTCAGATCATTTTGTATACTGTAAAAGTACTCACTTTAGTGCAATCAAATCTTAGCAGATTATCGCATTAATAAATTTATGCATTCACTGCATTTATGCAAAACAGTTACTGTATAAAGATAATAAAGAAACTGCAAGAAGTGCAATTAAATTTTAGTACAATAACTTGTGCTTGCAAAGATCATTAAAACAAAATTGATGTTTACAGTAGGTCAATTTTTTTTATCGCAGTTGTTTCCTGTATATAGAAGGTATATGACTTTGATTTACAGATGCTAGTAGTGTTTAAATCTGCTCCAATCCTGAAGCGTGCCCTCAAGGTCAAACATGCCATGATGCAACTGTACATCTTAAAACTTCTCAAGATGCAGACAAAATATCTAGGTCGACAATGGAGGAAGAGCAACATGAAAACAATGTCAGCTATCTACCAGAAAGTACGCCATCGACTCAATGATGACTGGGCTTATGGCAATGGTATGTCTGATGTATTCTTTAGTTTTCTCTGAAAAATACCCCTGTAAAATTGATGGCAGTCATCATCCTATTTGTCAAAATGGTATTTTAATGTATTAAGTATTTTCACGGACTTGATATATGCGATTATTGAACTGACTGGTATGTATAATTTTTGAACTGACTGGAATGTATAGTTACTGTAAAGTTCTTTTTTGTCCAATAAATGTGTTAATAATTTTTTAGGATAGGAATTTTGTGAAAATATGTTTCTATATTGTTGCAATACAAACTTCAAACTCAGTAAAGAAATTGAAATCTCTATCTGTTATTATGTAAGTCACAAATCTAAATTCTGAAATATGTGTTTTTCTAGAAGAAGATAGCAGTATATGGAACAGACATCCAATGTCAATGGGATCGAACCCAATTTAAATGTACAATATACAAAAGTTCTATTTTCGAGGGCTTATATTTTATTGCTGTTTTGGGGATTAGAATAAAATTGTAAAAAATGGATACCTTCAAAAGAAGATTAGTACAGAATTCTAAAATCCTTTCTTGATTTGTTAGTTAAAGATATCTCTATTGATTCGTTTGCTTTGTGAAACCTTCAAAATTTGAAACATCGTAAAGGGAGAAAAAAATAAAACAAAAGAATATGCTTTTTATGATATTTTACTGATCTGGATCATTTTTATATAATTTTTTTCAGATATGGATGCACGTCCCTGGGATTTCCAAGCGGAGGAGTGTGCATTACGAGCATGTGTCGACCGCTTTAACAATCGGAGATATGGTGTAAACGGTACAGATCCAGACTTTAAACCTTTGGACACCTGTTCCCTAAGTGTACTTGGAGAATCAATAGAACTAAGCCCAGAGTTCAAACAAAACTATGAACGCTGGTTAGAGATGGAGGTGTACTCCAACCAGATTGACTGGGACCAGATTTTAATGCTATGAATGCCTCACTTATTGTTGAGAATGAATACTGGGTAAGCTATGTTATTATACAAAAACATGTCCAAAATATTTAGATTTTAAAAATATCTTGCACCAAACACTCAACAGATATTTGATGTCTCTGTGAAAAACTAGATAAATTTTAAACTAAGGATGTTCATATAGTTTTGGTGTGTCTTTCTTTATATAGCATTTTCGTTCCTTTGAATAAATGAAATTTTGATTTATTAAAAACATGAAGGATAGATAAATGAAATTTTGATTTTACAGATGGTACCATCACATCATAGATATAACACATATTATGTTTTTATTTCAAAAAATGTGATTTACATTGGTAATTTTCATGAAATCCTTTATTTGTAACATAGCTCACAGCTTACATGATGTTTGTTAGAGTGTATGATATAGATATTGTATTTATGATATCAAAACGTGAGTATTTAAACACATTTTTATCTAAACTAAATACAGGATAAGATAACTGATGTTTCAAACAACAGATTCACCAAAAGTCTTTGTTCATAATATTAATTTGAATGCTTAGCTCTCTTAAACATTAAAACTGTTGAATCAAAAACAGAAAGTATTTTTTCATGAAAATAAACAAGAACGATGTAATTTGTATGTAAAATGTTTTGCTTGGATATCTTATAATGCACATTTATTGATTTTTAGGAAGAGATATCCATATATATATAAAAAAAAGGGTCAACATTGACATTGTAATCTATTCTGATAATAATTTGATAGTTTATAGCAAGGGAAACAACATTTTGGATGCAAGATTTCTAGCAATCCATTGTATCATTTCATTGAAAAAAGATCAATTTATTTCATGCCAAGTTATTCCAGTATAAATGCAAGAATTAGAGGGAATATGTAATGAAACAAAGAAGTCTTTGGTACAAATGTATTTTAAGGATTAACTGACCAGGATCTACATCAGCACTGTCTATGTGATGTGACCAAGAAAATTGAGGATGTTGGAGAAGAGAAAGAGAGAGTGTGAGAGGAGAGAGATAGTGAGGAGAGAGAGAAAACTTAGTATGAGAGGGAGGGATATGAAGATTGATTTGACTTAACTTAAATATTACATTCATGCTTTTAAAAGATCTTTGGGAGGAATCATGTTCAAAGGTCTTAAGAATATGCCATGAAGATATATATTGTTTATGTTTCTGAGGAATCTCATTCGTGAAATCTTCTTAACCAGGTATAATGACGGCACATAATTCTAACACATGATTAATGTCCTTGTATGCCTGTCTGTTCTCCCAATTGTTGTCTTGCTAATTAAAAAGAATGATTTCTTTAGTAATATGGTCACTCTTCAACATGTCAGATTTATTAAGACAATGAGATGAATAGGATATTTGAAATAACTGGATATGCCCTTGGTTTGGACAAAAGTCTTCACTGGAAACTCTTACTTAATTTTTTTTGTAGAGTTATTTCCCCTGAAGAACTTCTATATTGAAATTTCAAGGAGATCAAATCATATTTAAAACTTGCTTTGTCATTTGAATTTGATCAAACAAAATTATGAATCTACAGTGTTGTGTACTTCCAAGTTGAATGCTGATTTTGTAATTATTCATTGAATTGATTACAATTGATTTGGTGAATCATCCAGTACTAATGAGTAGGTTAGTACACAAATAAGTTGATAGAAAATGAATAGTTTTGAATGTGTAGTCTTTTCCTATGATACTGTGACATTGTGCTTGTGATTGCCTTGTATTCTTGCTACATAAAAGGAATGATGTATAAGGTACATGGCTTATTTATTAAATTTTTAACATATTACTGTAGTAATTGCTTATTTATGATGTAGAGCAGCATCTTGTTGCTGTAAGGATGTATGTCTTATAAGGGACACTAAATGTACACATCAGATTATCGGAAAACTAAACAAAATTTTTTTTCCATCATCATCATCATCATACAGTAAACCTCGGATAAGTCGAAATCGATGGGACGAAGTAAAATATTCAACTTATCCGATGGTTCGACTCCACCATGTTTTTGTCTATTGCCTGTAATCGAGACATCGTATATTTAAACTGACCCTAGTTTCGCCGATCATGTCTGATAGCGAGGATTAATGAAAAGAACAAGACAACATCTCTATTTTATAATAACAATTATTTTTTATCAAAATACAAATAAATCGTAGGTTAATGACAGTTACTGTAATCATCATTGTCACAAACACGTGGATAATGCATACAAGATTGAATGAAAGACACACGTTACACTGGGTACTTCGTGAAAACAATACTTAAAAATATACACATCAAGTTTCCTCTTCTGTCCTCTTCTTTCTTCCGCATTCCTCTCAAATGATCCAGTTTTTCCCCCAGATGACCTGGGTCCTTCACTAGATTGCTCATTTGAACTCGTGATTGAGAGTGTGGAATGAATGACAAATCCCAAATTTTCACCTTAATTTATAGCCCCTTTTGACACTTCCACTCAAATGTTGACATTTTCACTCAAATAAAACAACAACTCACAGGCAAAAAGTAAACATGAGATGTTTTATTTCAATGGCTATTTGATCGCATAGTTCTTGGTTAAATGAGATAATTACCTGTGCACCTGTATAAACAAAAGGATTAGGTGGATTGATACCATGAAATTACATTGTGCATGTAGGCCTGTTGACATTGTTACAGCTGACCGATCACACTCGTTACCGACCAGGAAAATTTACCTGAGACAACGTGGCGTCTGAATGTTCGACACAAACATGGAATTTTTTGTACGATTTAGAAGGGACGGACCACAAAATATATTCGACACAACCACAGTATTCGATTCAACAGTGTTCGATTCATCCGTGTTTAATTTACTAAGATAAAGAGGAAAAATTGATCGGGACCGAACAAAACGTTCGACTCATCCGATGTATACGACTCATGCGTGTTCGACAGAAGTGAGTTTTACTGTACATGCATTCAGTAAATTGGGGCTGCAGTTGGCCAAATGGGTAAGATGTCAGACTACCTTTATCTCTAGCCATCCATCTTTGGGTCGATGGTTTGAGGCTTACACGGAGCAGCCACCAGGTACTGGCTGCAGGTCGGTGGTTTTTCTCCATGAACTCGGGCTTCTCTCCACCCAAACCCGGCACATTCTTAACTCAGTGATCCAGAGAACAACAAAGACATTCAGTTCCATCATTTTATTAAATTCACATTCGTCAATAGCATATTGTATATATTAATAGTGTACAATGTATACAGTTAAATTTTATTTTTATGAAAGAGAAGATGTATTGGTAATAGTAATATTCCATATCTTTTATACATGTACCTATTCTGTAAAATATACAACCTAACTATACTGTGTGAGCATGCGCAAGAATATAATAAAAACAAGATCAAGAAGCCATGCTGTCTGCTTGTGTTGACTCTTCAGATTAATGCGCCCATCGGCTAACATTCATAGAAACATTACAATATTGAATTGGTTTTATTAATGTTACTCTTTTGACTTCACCTCGTCTATCACCTGAAAAAATGAATTTATATTGTCTTATGTTGATAAGTGCATTGCTGCTTCTAATAGATTATGACTGTTAGCTACTCAACTATACTTTTGCTGTACATTTGATCACTAAATGTTTGTAAATTGAATTCTTTATTTACTCATCTGTGGTTGCTCTAGTGTTGATATACTCTTAGAATTGATATATTCAGTATTGCAATGAATTCAAATTTGTTATTACTAATAATTACTGTGTCTTTGTATATCTATAGGTTATGAGACTAAAGAAGTGTTTACAAGTGAGTGTATGATAATGTGATATATGTAATATGTGAAATTTCATAACTAAATAATAAAATGCACCTTTATGATGTATACTTTTGCCACCTATGAAAAATACTTATATGATAGACTATTCCTGTAATCCAAGTGTTTATATAATAAAATTTCTTGAAATGAGTAGTAAAAATTCAACATTATTTTTCACACTTCCATATTTAATGGTTAGACTGACATCATGAGAAATTTAATACCCAATATATATAGGCCCTACATTTAGGTAAAGAATACTTTGGTTAATGAAAAAAGTGCTGTTTCATCAGTTATACTAGTTCATGTTTTGGTGGTAAGTACATTTACACTACATATTTACTCATAGAACACAGATTTTTTTCTAATGAATAATCAAGAATTCGAAATAAGTAAATAGTCTAAGATGTTTCTTTGAATAGATATCTATGTGCGTGTATATATATATATATATCTCCACAGCCTTTCCAACGTTAAGTTGATCATATTTTTGTTACCAATATAATTATTCATCTTCTTGAAAAAGCTGAATCTCTCAATATTACTTGTTTACTTCCATATCTATCTCTATAGATGGCAATTATTGTAACACTTTTGAACTTGATTTACCTCCCCTTAGTCATCTTGATGTTAACCATTCAGAAAGTAATGTTAGAGATAAAAATCAAATCATCAAATATAATTAACCAGCAGGATCTGATAATCTATCGCCTATAAACGTCATTAGCCTTATGTCACACAACAAAGGATATCAAGTACCCTTATTTGTACTACATCTTCTCGTTGTATAGAGATAGCTCGACCGGAGGAAAAAGAAACATCGCTATTTGAATATCCGGACTCGATTGTCAAAGAGTAACATAAACATGAACAGTGTAGTCGTTGATTATTTTGGAGGAGACGTTGTTGCAGAAAACTAACATATCCTCGCGAGAGCAGTCCTAGATATAATGGGCGTCGTCTGTAACAAGTTTATTGCATGGTGGACATACTGTAATGCTCTTGGAAAAGGAAATTCCCAAGTTCGTAATCCACTCAGTGTCAGTCCATCAGTGGTGACGTGTGCACTCAGGCGTCACGGCCTTACCAGGGGTATTTACTTGAGTGTAGTCACTCTCGCTCCACGACACCCGTGGAGAACGGACGTTACATCTCACAGGTACTCTTGCCCAATTTTATTAGAGCCACGTAACTATGTGATTTTTGTCGGCCAAGAGTGTGCGCTATTGTCAATATTTTACTTATTATCGTGTACATCCAGTAATTCATTATTAAATCAATATTAACGCTACCTTTTAGTGTTTGTTAGTGATATAGCCCGGCATTACAATACTAATTCACATACTCTCACCGTATATATTGATTTTATAGTATCATGTGATACATCTATCACCGTATATATTGATTTTAAAATATCACGTGATACATCTTTCACCGTATATATTGATTGTATAATATCACGTGATACAACTTTCATCGTATATAATGATTTTATAATATCACGTGATACAACTTTCATCGTATATAATGATTTTATAATATCACGTGATACAACTTTCACCGTATATAATGATTTTATAGTATCACGTGATACAACTATCACCGTATATATTGATTTTATAGTATCACGTGATACAACTATCACCGTATATATTGATAGAAATTATGGGGGAAATGACACAAAGCAAGTTTAGCAGTTTGCATTGAAATTTGTTCTTGAATAAAAAATGTGTAAATATTTGATATTAAGCAACGTGTTTAAAAATCACATAACATTTATACACAAAGAACCAATAGAATATGTTTTTTGACGCTTCATTCTTCCACTGATACTTTCATTCAAAGCACAAAATACCACGTAAAATGCTATAGGTATTGTTGAGCTACCTACAGGCCGATTGGTTGGTGGGAGGGAAGACTTCATAACTGTTAGTGATTTATCGACAGTTAGTAGTGACGCCGGGGATACAACTAAAATAGTCGCTTTACCGGTGAGGACAGTTACACATACTGAAGATGTTTGTGCTCTTCCAAGGAAATCTACAGATATGGTATGTATTGATATGACAAAACTAACGTATATGGCACCTAAATACATTGTTGTATTACTGTACAGCGGCGAATCCTAACATTAAGGTTATTATGTTAATATATTCAACGCAAAGTTCAGATATCCAGAGTATTTTATTCGAATCTTATTTCGATAATTTTAATCATCTGATAAAGAAAATGATATAACTTAGTACGATAGATCCTAAATTTAATAAAACCAAATATTTCATAATCATCTGATAAAATATGATATAAATTGATATGATAGATCCTAAATTTAGTAAAACCAAATATTTCCATAAAAATCATCTGATAATAATATGATATAAATTTAGTAAAACAATATGATAGATAAAATATGATATAAAAAATTTAATGAAACCAAATATTTCATAATCATCTGATAAAATATGATATAAATCAATATGATAGATTTAATAAAACCTAAATTTAGTAAAACCAAATATTTCATAATCATCTGATAAAATATGATATAAATCAGTATGATAGATCCTAAATTTAGTAAAACCAAATATTTCATAATCATCTGATAAAATATGATATAAATCAGTATGATAGATCCTAAATTTAGTAAAACCAAATATTTCATAATCATCTGATAAAATATGATATAAATCAATATGATAGATCCTAAATTTAGTAAAACCAAATATTTCATAATCCAAAACGAATTTATATTAAAGCCATAGTAGTCAAGGTGAAATAGATGCGTGATATAACAAATACACAATAAACGTAAAACCCACTAGTCTTGATATAAAACTTAACAAAAAAGAGATAGGAAAACAAACCTTCAATATGTGGTTTTCATCATTTGTCCCCTAATCTACCATGCAGTTGAAATGTTGACCATGACCGTTTTTGTAATTTTGTTGTGAATTGCTATCGGACATTATTGTTAAATAATTGATATTCTTCAATCGTTTTCGG